GTAAAGGGACCGCCGATAAAGTTGTTGGTAATTCAACGAAATGATACTAGAAACGCATTTTTTTCAATGCGAGTGCTCCAAGCAAATTGGCACTTATAGATGGATGCAGCTTATGATCCAGCAAGTAGGGTACAACATATAAAGAATTGGCGCCGTTTGGCGACGGGGGCGGAGGGGCATTTTGCACTTTTGTTAGTTCCCGTCGACGTCTCATCAAGTGCAAACCCGCGAAATCTTATGACGGAACAAAATGATACCAGCCGAAGTTTGTGGAGACTACCTGTCAACTCTGGCAAAGAATACCTCTTAACTCTTGCTAAGCCATGAAATACCATACAAATACCATTTACCATGGCTGCTTGTTGAGGCTTGCTCCGGCTTCACAGCTTCACAAGAGTGCACAGGCTTCAACAGAGTAAGACTTGTAAGCCGGAACTAGTGAAACAGCGAGAGCGCAAAATGCTACCCCCTCCCTCCCCCCGTCGTCAAAGAATCTCAATAAAAAGGAGAACACCGACGTATTTACCGAGGCATAACCTTCACCAACCATACCTGGAAATCTCGATCTGGATTTTGCTTCCTTTCGCCCAAAACAATGTGTTCCACTAGAACGTAAAATAACATCGTCATCGCTTTTCGATGGTCATCCGGAGACTGTGAGATGGGAGGATCAAAGTCCGCCCGATCGTTACATTCAGCCGCTACTTTTTCAACGAATCTATAAATAACAGTAAGTGGAATCGATTAAATACCGAACAACATTACAGAGTCCACTTGGCAGTGACGGTTTCAGAAAAGCTGACATATGCAGCTTCGTATGCTTATGCTATGCTCGTAGCAGCTGCTCAAAGGAGATTGTAATTACAAAAGTATCTATACCAACGAATCACTACAGAGCAGCTAACAAGTAGCCGCACACCTTTTACAGATCATTCCGGTCAAGAAAGAACATCAGGCTACTTCTCAAAGCAGTGAATCATGTGTCAATATTCGATAGCCACCCCAAAAACCGTAAAGACCACGCCATTGCCGTGGACCGGTGCAGGTCCGCAGCCATGCATCTGTTTCCCCTCTTTTCCCTGAGGGTCAGCCCTAGCAAAGCGCAGACGATTAGAGTCTTAATGTCGCCACGTATGGCTCTCCACCAAGGAGCTGACTGTTGAGCTGTAGTCATGGTGTCACTAACCCCTACACCGAACTGTTCATAACAGAACCGCAGAATAGTACCAACGAAAATAGAAAAATAATCGGTGCATTCA